ATTCGTCATTTACTAAAGGACGTAGATCAAGACTTTTTAGCGCATTATCCTTGTAGTTTTAACAGTACAAGTGATAAATGTTTCAATTCCTTCTGCCTGAAATATTAAATATGTATACCGAAATCGCATTTCAGATTGTGAGCAGAGTCCATGCAGATCAAAGGTATCTCGTTAAAGAAGTAGTGAGAAACACTTTAGTATATAATGGTTTTAGGAATTTCATTAATTTTCAATTTTTATTATCAGCTTCTCAATTTAAACAATAAAGAAATATTGTCATATAATTTTAGATAAATGAATAAGAATGTATTGATGCTCAAAGTTTTTATCTTGATCTTTTTCATAGCCCTATAACTACCTAAATATTCATCATCGCATACAAAAATTTTATTAAGAAATCCGCTTAACAACTAATGAGATGTAATTCTAAGAAAGTGATATCAGCAAGTCCTATTTCATTAGTTCGCTTATCAATCAGTAAACCACCGATAAAAAGATTTTTTCGAGCTTACTCTGAACAAAGTAAATTAAAACAAAGACTCCTGGATTCGCGTGTTAATTGTAATCTACGTCAAACGAAGTGAGCATGCGACATGTTTAACATTGTCATTTCATATTTTGATAATCAAAAAGAATTTTCTAAGATAAATTCAAACGTACTGCGTACTACACTAAGATATTTCTATTGTATTTTGTTAGATGGTGATTAAAAGAATGACTTTTTTAAGTCATGTAAAATACGAAAATAGCTTTCTGTATTCCAACTGGCTCTTCTTTATATTATTAGGTTTACTGTTATTTTAATTTTTTAAAAATTACTTTAAAAGATAAACTGGTATCAATATACAAGTACTGACAGACATCTGAGTTTTGTTTATGAAAACCCAACAAGGTTTTCAAGAAGATCAATTTCTCGTTTCTCATAGTCATTTGGTTATACTATTTTTCCGTTACCTCACATTAACAAAATAATTTATCGGAAGTTGTATGATATCAGGCATATTATTTAGATGAGAACTAATCAGTAATCAATAGAGGTGAGTATATAATCAGTTATTGGTAGATAATTATTATCTTTCAATCAAATGTTTTATCCTCAAATGATATCACTCTAAATGTTTCTCACTACTGACACTGTAATTAAAGTTCTCATATTTTTACTGGTGCTTATAAAATTCTATATATTTTTTTACGTATATATTTTTGACTGATTATTTCAATGACCTGAAAGTTTAGTAATTAAGATTCTCAATATTCTTCGTAAATATCGGTGAAAATATAATAATTTGCCAATCAGTTTAAGTACTTTCGACTCGTGTCATTTCTCTGGTTAAATGAAGCTTTATTATTTACTCAGGTAGAATGACAGTCATCAGAGAATCATTAAAACCATGAAACGTTTATTTGGTTACTTTGTCCTATCTTTTGTCCACAGATGAATTGAGAATATTTAGCTGTACTGAAACATGTAAACATCAATATCTAAACTGGAATCCGGTTGTTTTCACTTTCCATTTTCATCAAGATATAGTGTAATTACCATCTGATGAAAGTACGTAACTAATTTGTAAGAACTTAGCATCCTACAGTCGAGGTTAGCTGAAAATTCTGAATTTTTATGTTAAATTTATGGTGTCATTTGACGTTTCTTCACCGTTTAACTTCCATTTTTATTCCTAATTTAGTTGGCATCACTGAATTTGATTATTCGCTAAACTGAGCGACTTAAATGAGTAAGCAATTTAATCTTAATAGAATATCTACCTTCTGATTCTGAGTAGTCGGAGATAGTCCTCAGGAAACTTTAGAACTTGGTTTCCTGTTAGCTGACACGTATCAATAAGGTGTACTCGAAATCTTAAGGGATATTACTGACAACTCCGGGCCTAATTAACTAATAATCAATTTTGTGATATGGTGACGTAATTTAATTAATGTTTATCTTTATGTCATAAACTTATTCACACATTATTATTGTAACACGTACCAACCTTTTTGAGAAATTTAGTCACCATCAAATCTTATTTACTAATTCGTACTTAAATCATATTCCACATATTACATGTCCTCTGGTTTGTAATTACATTATTCTCTCTCTCACCCCATGTTGAACATATTTATTCTGATTATTGGTCTCATAACTTCAATTAACGTCCAAGCTTATTCACGTTAGCAATTCATATTAGTCACTTCAACATAATTATTTGGATCATCAATCGACGAATTTTAGACCATCATTGAAAACTTGGAAACATTGGACGGCCGCTTCGTCCTAGTATGGAAAATCTCAGCAGTGAGCATCCACGATCCCGTACGTGGGATTCGAACCTAGGACCTTTGGTCTCGCGTGGGAACACAAACTCTGGACTACCGAGCCGGTATCCAACGGTCTTAATGTCTAACTTTGACCAATCCATGAAATTGGGTGACCATCATTTTCCTGTGGTAGACACCGGTCTCCATCTGACACGGATTAGCTCCACTGGATTGGTTGAAGTTAGACATTCACAGCGTTGTATACCGTCTCAGTGGTCTCGAATCCCACGTGCGGGATCGTGGGTGCTCACTGCTGAGTCCTATACTAGGACGAAAAGACCATCTAGTGCTTCCGGGTTTTCAATATTGGTCTGACATTCATCGATTCACGATCTCAATAAAAAAACAATCTCCACAATTTCATACTGATAACGACTTGATTTGGCTCTACATGACAAACAATTCTTGATTCACTTGATATTGTTTTACTTGAATTTTCCCATTGATGTTTTTTTTGGACTGAAATTGATCAGTCTCTTATTGGCATATGTGCATACTGTGCGTATGCCTCGATATTGCCTAAATTTACAAGCATTATAAGCAAAGATGGATAGTGGCTAGCAGTGGAATCCAGGACGCGCGTTTCGTCCGGTACTGAGTTCGAGTCCCAGAGTGAACATCAACTCTGAGATGCAGGTGCGTCCAGCTGACGAGTCCCAAACAGGACGAAACGCGCGTCCTGGATTTCACTGCTAGCCACTATCCATCTTTGCTTATAATTCTTGATTCAGTTGTTATAATTTTAGATGATGTAGTTTTCCTCAAACTTAGTCAATTTTTATGGATTATTAATTTGGATATATAATTGTAGAACCTGATGAGAAATTATTGAAAAGAATCTTCTTAGTCCATATAATCGTGTTTTGATGTACTTTGAACATATATGGTCCAGAAAAGGTTGCAGCCTGACTTCATGTTTTTATCTTAGACAAACAAATTTTCAAACAAGAGCATGATAAAACCATATTACTTTAATGATTGTATGTTGAAAACATGATCATAGAGTTCTTCGTATGATTGGAAACATTATGTAGACTGAGACTTATGCAAGTAACCAACATTGTCGTATTATTATTTGTAGGTAAGTAAATTCTACCAGCTTTCGGACAACGAATGAATTACTCCAACTTTTAAAAAAATTATGACGTTTTTATTTGTGAAGTCCAGTCAATTCAAGTGGAGAAAAAAAGTATCACACTTATGGTATAAGTGAAGCTTTTATTTTTACTTCATAAGATTCTTCCATTGATCGGAATTCCATATATCCTCTCAACACAAAATTCACTTCGCTTCAAGTTTTAAAAGAATATTTCTCTCCTCAAGCTTGAAGATCATTAATAGGCCATGTATTTGAATGAGGTACACCAAAACGTCTGTTTATCTAATGACAATAAAAGTTTTTTTTAGAAAACCTGTCTACCTCTCTTTACTATGACAGTTAAAGTGTTGTTGTTGGATATCCTCAGTTCATATTATTCCGGTATAATTTTCGTAGTTAGCACCAAATATCTCCATCATAAAAAGAGAATACTACATGTCGTATACAAAATATTTAAAAAAGACAGCAGGAATTAAGTATTAGATTACATTTGATTATTACATGACCGGGTTTATTGTAGACATTTTAAATATTTCGAATGCATATTGCACTAATGACGTAAACGAGTTGATTCAACAACGAGTTCAATTATACCTCTGCTCATTGTGTTCTACTGAAACTCAGTACTCAACTAAGGTTACACTTCTCAAATAAGCACATGACAGAACGTGATTGTTAACAAAAACGTTTAAATATAAAGTGAAATTACTGGTCACTGATATTCTATCTTCAAACACTGTTTTACTGATATCCATCATAAATACCATTTAGAAGTAGATATTTAATCCATTTAAATCCTTATAATATTATCTGTTATGTTTCATATCTGGTTCAACGAAAACATGTATGCCGAAATTTTCTTGCATATCCAGTGAAAAATCAAACGTCATCTCATAATGCAAAGTGGATTATTAATTGATGATTTCAAAATAATATCTATTAGTTACAACGCATTCGATTAGTTCTCAATGTATGTTTCAAATTTGGAAGAAAAACGAAATAGCCCACTAAAAACCACCGTCCGTTTTCACAACAGAAATATAGACATATTCAAATGAATCAGAAGGGTTTTGTGGAGATTTTAGAAATTTCACAGATCAAAATCATGAGTCAATTGAAGCTAGACCACCATGGAAAATCTTGAAGCACTGGACGGCCGTTTCGTCCTAGTGTGGGACTCCTCAGCAGTGCGCATCCACGATGCCGCACCACGCGGGATTCGAACCCAGGGCCTACTGGATTCGCGCGCTAGCACTTAATCATTAAACCACTGAGCCATCACCCAATGGTGTTAATGCCTAACTTCAACCAATCCACGAAGTTGCGGGATCGTGGATGCGCATTGCTGAGGAGTCCCATACTAGGACAAAACGGCCGTCCAGTGCTTCCAGGTTTTCCATGGTGGTCTAGCTTCAGTTGACTTATGATTTCAATCTGTGATATTCAAATGATGCCAATATTTTATTAGTTGCTTAAAATTTAAATTACGTTTCAAATTTACTTATGTTGAATTCTTTTGCCTTTTCTATTGTTACTGTAGAGAACCAATAGTTTGTACAACATTGAAAACATTGTATCCTAAGTAATGTCAGTGACCCATTTTTGTCTTGTTTTTTTTTCATTGGACTTAATTCGATTAGACTCAGTTTTTGGTAAAAGTTATGAAGAAATTCTAGCGAATCATTTAATCAATCAACCTAATTTATGGTTGCAACCATCTGCATGTCCTCATATTTGTCAGAAGCCTCTTCTTGTTAATCTAACATATAATCTTATACAAGTAGTAAAGTTGGTATGTTTAATTTTAATGTTTTGTTTTAATGAAATATGACAAGTTTACTTATGTTTATGACTATCTACTGCACATGTTTGTAGTAGCTCATACGGTTTTGTTTATTAATTTTCGTTAAATTTAATATCTCCATATTAACAGGCAGGCAAAGAGCGGGATGGGATGTTCTCCGCCCAATAAAAGGGATAGTAAAATAAGCTTCTGTTTCAGAGCCCAATGACTTGAAATGATGAAGTGTATTTTGCATTTTTTAAAATAAATCTACATTTTATCGCGAATGGAATGGGAATCACATTTCATTCCAGTTATCATATGTAATCAATGATAATTCAGGGGCCTAAAATATCAATCTATCAAACAGAAGTAATAATCGCTAAATTCAGTATGATTTATGTTACAAAGCTTTCAGTCAATCTTATTAACGAACAACAATAAAATTGTCTAGATTCCGTTTAAAACCACTATTTTTCACTATTCCCATCCCGAGATTCGTGAGTTTTTGGAAGATTGGCCAAAACGTATTCTGTTCACTCTAATTGAAAAGAACCAGTCATTAAGTATGTGGGATTAAGGTGACGGACTCATGCTTAAATATTCAACATAAAGTCTTCAAAACAGTGACTTAAAAAATTTGCTCCTTTTTGGCCGGATAAATCAACTTTGGAAGATATTTATTTTGACAACAAATCATACACATTATTTTTGTCAGACATATATTTGAAGGTTATTTTGCAAATTATCATTCGAACAGTTTAATTAAAACTTTGTGTAAATAAATTTGATCAAACTGTTGTTATCCCAATATTAACTAAGGTGTAACACAATGACTTTGAAACCAAACAATGTTAAATACTATTAAGGGACTACAGATAATTAGTCTTTGTATCTTGAGTGCATAGCCTAAATACTGTTATTTCGAATAGCATTCAATAAACTACATTTCTGAAATTAATGAAAATATTCAAGTGATACTTCTTGTCTTATTGTAAGTAGAATGGATATTTATGCCTCTTTGTTTGAAGCGTGTCCGCGAACTTTACTGTCATTAAAATACGCTACTTGAAATGCTTAGTTATAAATAAATTCATTTCAGTCTTTCCCATAATAATCCAAAACTAATTTTAGTCATGAAGTAACAGTAATAACTAATTCCTAACAGTTCTGGTAGAGGTTAATTTATTATTCAAATGATTGTCGTCACAGACCACAATTAATTAGAAAAGAAGAATTAAGAAGGAGCTAGTTCGTTTTATTTTGTTGGTCTGAATTCTTAACAAAATGTTAAACCCAGGAATTCCATATAGTGTAGCGAGATTATTATCATCCATGAGTTGATTTAATATTTTTGAGTTCAACTTCTTCGATTTTAGGAACTTTCTGACATTTCATGGATCCAATATACGTAGTAACCCCCAATTCCTCTTTTCTTTCTGACCTTTGAGATAATTATTTCGAACTAAAACTTTGTTAATTTAACAAAAAATTGAGTCTTTAATCAACGGTAGTCCATTATTTAGCCACCTACTTTGCATGGTATTAATTAATTTATCTTCAATTGTCATCACTCATTGTTTTCACTACAAGTAAAGAAAATAATCGAGTTTATAGAACAGACAGATAGAGAATGACAGAATAAATTACAAAACCCACATATGAAAAATGTGGTGTTGGAAGCTTTTAGCCCTTATTATCTTTATCGTAAAGACTGTTAGAATAATTTGAATTCGTAGAGTAGTTCAAAAATTATATTAACAACTAGTTATCTAGTATGATATTATTTAACGATGAACAGTAATTTTTCATTCACTTACATCTAGTTTGATAATAAAATTCATCTGTTCACTATGATCGATGAGTAAAAGCAAAAACTCCAAAAGAACATATGTCATTTAAGGTACAGCTACTTGCCCTTCTATCATCTATCTCACTCATGATATGAAACCAATTAAGTCACCTGAAAGATAATAGATATTCATTTATAACAATTTTATTTATGACAGTAATTTTAATTTCTATCTTTCGCTAATGACAAAAAACTTATCGACTATACATTTTTTTCTCTCTCCCATTCCTTTCAGTCGCATTCAGATGAAACACTTATAATATCTGGATGGTTTACAATAGTACGTTAATCTTTGTATATACATATATATTCTTTATATACAAATGCACGTTGCATATCAGTGTATCCATTATTTTCATTTTTCTTTCGTAATATTTACTTAATTTGAAGGAAGTTTTGCACAATATTTTATAAATCACGGATTGATTGATGCTTGAACACAACAAAATTACCTCAATTACTAATTTTAAATGTGATGGATGGTACTGTCAATTTTTTGTTCCTTTTTTCTCCTCTATTCGTTCCTCCATATTTGTTCATTCATATAGGTTTAAATTGAATCAACAACATTAGCTAGACTAGTAATACCATAATGATTCATTGTACTTAATATGGAAATAAATTTTAAGTGTATATAGCTTCATGTTAGTAATATAATGATATATTTCTATCGATATCTTCGTATTTATTTCCAGACAAATATTTTCCTATAATTATTTTGACTTACGAGGTAGAAGAAGTGTATACATCCATGAACAAAGAAACACATTTTGAAAAGTTGTATAATTCAGCTAAATTACTTCAAGAAATTAGTTAATTTAAAGACAACTAGACTAAATTGATGCAATCAGTTGAATTACTCTTGAAAATGGTTATTTAACCATTGTTTTTAGTTACTCAACAGTGTAAATCCCTAACTACTTTCTGAATAAAACTTATGATATGACTTTAATGATCATATAACTCTTAAACCTGTCAGTTAAACTTCAATGGTTTGTATATCTCCAAATATTAGTGAAGTTGAAACTTGAAGGATATTTATAATCACAACACTTATTTATTTACAATGGCAATAAACACATCTGATTCGACCAGCACTGTGATTAAATTCAAGTCAGATATGCTGAATCTCAATCCCACTCACTTTCAGAATAATTAGGCATTAGAAATCTTAACTTTGAACTTCAGTCTCTGGCTTAAAAAACCGTAATTATATTATTATTCTATTTATTATTATTGTTATTTTTACTATCATAGTGGGCTCGTGTAGATTGTTGAATTTCCGTAGTTTACATCATGGAGTTATCTTAGTAAGACTACATTTGGAAACCAGGAAGCAGTGAACAAAAACCCGTTAGCGCTGCTGACGAGCCCCGTGTGAGGGCCAAACAACTTTCCAGTGTTTCTAGATTCTCAATGGTGGATAAATTTAAATAAGCCTGTGATGATAACCATAAAACCTTTGAAATACTGAGGAAATGTGTGACTAGTCGTCTAAATTAATTTGATTAACGTAATTGCTGGTGATCCCTCACAATACCACTACAATAAATGTATATTAAAAGACATGATAAGTAGATATTTTTCTTTCAGAAATGAATACTTATATTTAAAATGTTGAACATAAAAATCACTAATACTAAAATTCTTTCGAATTAGAAATGACTCAAATTTATTTTTCATCTTTCTCTAATCAATAAATGTAAAATCAGATTATCAAGAAAGTTTTTCTATGGGTCGTTAATGTTCATAATATTTTACACTGTTCAGATTTGAAATGTAATACCAGACTAAAACACTAATACGAACAGGAAGTTGGTAGATTTTATTCACCTAATTCCATTCAAAGATAAAAATGTACTTTAAACACAAGTAGAAAAAGTTACCGCTGTCAAGGAGAAAAAAGTCTTAGAATCTGAAGTTTTGAAACAGATTCAAGTATTTTATGATCCACTATTATAGACTCCTTCATCACCTTGTAAACAGTAATTTTTTTATTTGTATCTCTCACGGAAGTATTATAGTTTACTATACTATATCCGGTAAGCGAAATTAAATTTGTATAACTTCAAGCCGTACAGTGCTACATATACCATGTTTTGCTGTACCTTATTCATTGATGAGAACACTATTATTATTTTAAAGTACAATGCACCATCTGTTTTAAAAAGAAGCCCTAAACGTTCACATTTTAACAGAAGGTCTATGTTGCTTCCTTCAAACGTGGTATTTTTCTGTTTGCTACAAACTAGGATTCTTATTATTTCTATTTGATGTTCCTTAATGCCTAAGGTAGTCTATCAGTTCAAAATATAAAGTATGATAACTGAAACGAAAGGGCGATCTTCACGATAAAATTTGTATGTTGTCTTACCAAAAAAGGATCCAATACGGAAGACGTGAACTTGTCTTTGATCTTTTTTTCAATATTTATGGGCAAATATATTATTACAACTGACTGTCTTCAACAAGGAAACATTAAATACACTGGACAATATTGTAAATTATTTGAAATGTATAAGCACATAAAAATATACTGCATATATTTTAATGTTTTAAATGTTTTACTGATGATTACTGTATCAGAATTCTGAGACTTAATTCTAATCATTTTGGTCATGTGTTCCTGACAAGTTAAAATAATGTCTTGTACAAAATTTAAGCGCTACAAATTGAACTTGAACTTGAAAGATAGAAATTTTCGTTGTAAATGGAAGTGAAACTTGGTATGACTTGACCAAAAGGAAAGAAAACACTGGTAGAAGATAAAGATCTATTTTTTTATCTATAACTAGAAGACTTCCTTAGGCTTGATATACATTGATTTATGGACAAACTTACATCAAGTGATTATTGGTTAGCACAATGCACACTGGACTGACAAAACGGAAACGACAAACTGAATTAAGGAACGAAATGTACAAAACGAACATAAGGAAGTGTTCTACTGAATTAAAAATAGCACGCTGATCTCAAAATGGATTTCTTCTTAACGCTAGCTAATGACAAATTTCATGAGTAGATCCTCCAACATAATTTATTGATAACGGAATTTTCACAATACACTTACATAATACAAGTCCACAGAAGTTAGTCACTATGGTTTCTGGTAAATGTGTTTAGTTACCATATAGAATAAGGAAACAGTTGTTCGATCTCCTGCACGTAGTTTGGATTATATATCTTCTATGAGTAGTTTATTTATTTAAACAGTTTATATAAAACGGTTTTAATCTGTTTACCACGTTACGAAAGGTTTTATTTTTATTTTAGAGGTGGATGGATTATCGTCTGAAGTGGAAACCACGAGATTTTGGCGATTTACAAAATATACTGATTTTTAAGAGCAAACAATTATGGAGACCTGATTTAGCATTCGGAAACCGTAAAAAGAACGGGCTGTTTGATTTGGCTTCGGGCAATAATGCATCGCGTTTGATGGTTGAGTCCGACGGTTACGTAACATGGTTACATGGTTCAGTTTTAGAACTATCTTGCCCTCTTGATATGACTAAATTACCATTTGACAGACAAAAATGTTATTTGGTTTTGACTACACTATATAGTACAATCAAACAATTAGAAATCAATCTAAAAATCGATCATTTAAGTATTGATAACAGTTTTATGCCCAACGCTAATCATAGTGAATGGATAATTGAGGAAATTGGTTATCATTCTTCTGTATACTTGAGGCAAACTAACTCAAAATATCAATATTTGGTAATATCTATTAAACTGAAACATGAACCCTTGTACTTTGTTACATTTGTTGTCGCACCATTCACATTGATTTCAACGTTAACATGTTCAATATTTACATTGAGTTACCCAAGTGATCGGTTAGCTACTGCATTATCATTATTCTTTGGTGCAACTGTATATGTTATTACTGTGTCATCAAACACACCTCGATCTGTGAGCCAGATACCACTTTTAGGTGAGTAGATACTAGATATAAATCAGTTACTTAGTTTCATTACTTTTCGCGTTGAACATTTGATACATTACAATTTTTTACAATTTTTTACAATTTCCATATACAGATTTTATGATCCAGTCCAACGGAAAGTCAATTTTTGTGCATGGTCTATAAGTACAATAAGTCATTATCTATTCTAATATTTAGGTGATTACGATATTTAGTTCCACAGTGAAAATATCCATTAAAATCTGAAATAGGATTATTTAATAAAAAAAGAAATCTAGTTGTTGAATACCAAGAATCACTATAAATGAACTTGGCTATTTAAATCAGTTGCTTCAAAATACCTATAAAATCCAGATGAGAACAATAATCGACATACGTTTCTTTCGGTAGTATGTTTTAATTTTGAATCACCCTTGGTTTAATAAAAGTTGGAATTAAAGGAGTTACTTTTAAAGGAGCGTCTAAGCTTGGCTGTCACTGGAGAGACATTAGGTGACATTTCAACTTTAGTACAACTGTCCATCATAATTTATCAGTAATATTATTTTATTCTACGCAATTTAGGTACAAACGATATAGACTAACAAGAAAAAATATGTTGCCATCTGATACTGAAGTAAGTAAATTTCCAGTTTAAGCCCTTGAACCTTTACTAATGGATCAATAGTATATGCAGTGATAATGTTTTCAACTATGGTAGCTTTGTTCCTAATTAAATTCCTAAAACTGTTGTCTAAGAACCACTGTTATTTCAATTAAACATTCTTAAAATGGATTTCGACGGACAGGTCAATTATTAACACGGAAAGAAATAAAGTATTGTTTCCAACTTTTCGATCTTAAACCAGTTATCTCTAAAAGCACTGATAAACCACCTGTACATAATTCACACAAGGCACACCGATCGACAGTGAATAGAATATTTAATTATGATTGCTCCTCAAAAGCTGCCTGAAATTAGCTAATCAACAAGAGATTACGAAATTTAGTATTATTTTCCTCTGCCACTTAACTAAGACTTATTGGCAACACAACCAAACGCACCTAAATAAAGTGAGTTTGTGAAATACGGTTTTAACTGTTCCTGAAAATTCATCGAAAAATGTGATTGAATTTAATTTTTGTTAGACAATTTATATTTGATAAATGGTAGAGATTACATAATCATCAAATCCATTCAGTTAATGCTGGATTATTGAATACCTTTCTGATGATAAGAAATCTAGGCTTGATTTCAGGCTACTCTAATATCATACTAAATCCAAGTATGTATTCCGGTTAAAGAACTGATAGAAGGTAATTTTGAAACAGATTAAGTTAAATACCCCGATAAACTCGAGGTTCCAAAAATAATCCTGGAATTGGTTGCAAATGGGAGAATATTAGTTATTATCCAGTTGAGCACTTCAATTCTGTCTTAAAATCACATTAACATCATATATGAGAACAATTTATATTCAAATGTGGGAAGAATGTGACTCTAAGTGTTCAGCCAAGACCCTGTCAGATATTGAACTGAGAGCTTCAGATCTCTCGGCGTGCAGGTTATCTTCAAATCCCTATATTCAAATTCGCGGTTACACATTTTCAACTTCAATGAGTTTATGGTGCTTCACAGCCGTCATGCATTGACATTGGTTATACCTGTTACATTCCGGAGAAGGTTGAAGTTCATCAGTCCAGAGCTCTCATTAGAACCTCGGGAATCATTCATGAGGTTAGTTACCTGTGAGTATATGTATATGTTTTTCAAAACCAGCAATTTTACTTAAATAAGCTGCTTACTCATCTCATAACTAAAAGAAATCTATCAGGAATCCAATCTGTTCATTACTAACACAATATACGAAGAAAAGTTGTCTTTTAATTAAGTAGACAATAATTTTAAATGAGATTTGCAAAATGTACTGAAATTTGAACCATTCATTTAACCAACAGAAAAGGAAATCTACTAAATACGCATATATCCATCAGAATTAAAACCAGGCTAAATCTTGTTAGAGACTCTTTATCCCATAGTCAGTATTCCCCTTCTGGTTTCACCATACGAGGTAATCCATGGGCCTAAACAATCACAACTAAATAGAGCAAGAACAAAGATTGGTGCAGAATAATATGAATTCATTTTATTTCGTTAGGTTCTCATCAGCTGCTTACAACCTAAATTATTTGAAATTCAAATTATTACAGATATTGACATATTTATACATAAGAGTGTGATTAAGGATGAATACATGTGTATCATGATGTAGCAAAGATTCAGATAGGGTTAATGAGCTCATAAAATGTTTGATTCGAATAAATAAATAAAGTTAGAGAGGGAAAGTTCTGGAACATTGAAATAGTGATTAGAACTCATGAAAATAGATTAATGGTAATAAACAAAATATGAATTGAAATCAATCAGTTATGTATGATGCAATTTATACTTCAGAAAGAGTTGCAATAATGACGCAATAAATAAATAAATAGGAGTAAATTAATAGAAAGAGTGGGGGTTATTGTTACCAGGGTAAAGAAAGATTTATTACTGTCTCTTTTTGTATACATAGATCTGGTTTTAAGCGTTTGATTGCTAACGCTTCAGCGAATTTCAAAAGGTTCGAGTTTGATTGTTTGTTAATCACCTTGAAGGACTTCAGTATATCAGCTTTATGTCCTGTATCAAGGAGATGTCTTGCGATAGCACTGTTGAATGCGTTCAATCCATTTAACCTTAAACTTTTCGGAATATGTTCTTTGAATCGGACGTAGGCTCTCCCTTCTGTTCTACCAATGTAACTGCTTTGGCAGGTACATGTAAATTTGTATACACAGTTGGTGGTAACATGAAAGGGATACCTGTCGACCTTTGATTGTGTCAAAGTGCATGTTGTTTTGGACAGGACAATCAATTTTGCTGCAGGATAAGTTCTTGTCAGTGCAGTTTTTAATCTCATATTGATTGATCCTGTGACATCGTCACCTTTGAATTAAAGTTTAATAAAAATAGGCTTTTTATTTGCTGTAATTTCTTTCGGCTTTTTAACTTCACATTTGCCGTATTTCTCAATAAATTTCAGCGGGTATCCGTTATTCTTTAAACATTTTTTAACATTCATAACTTCCTCTTCTAGTGTATCGGAAGTACATATTCTTTCTGTTCTATGAAACAGTGTTTTGACCAGTGCCTTTTTGTAACTGATTGGACAAAAGCTATTGAAATTAAGATAACTGCCATTCCATGTGTCTTTCTTATAAACTGAACGTTGAACTGTACCATCTTTTCTTCTTTTCATCGCGATATCGAGGAAATGGAACTTGTTTTCTTTTTCATGTTCCATAGTGAAATGGATATTCGGATGTGCTTCGTTGAAAAACTCTAGCAGATTTATTGCATGTTGTTCATTATTACATACGATGAATGTATCATCAACATATCTCGAATAATACGTCATTTCATCAATCGCTCGTTTGAGTTTGGTTCTTTCGAGGTTAGCCATGAAAATATCTGCTAGGACAGGACCTAACGGACTTCCCATCGCTACACCATCGGTTTGTTTGTATATGATATCGTTGAAATGGAACTGAACATCTTTTGTACAAATGAGTAATAGTCGTTTGAATTCTGGTACTGGTAGAGGTAGGATGTCAGAATGTTGACAAATTATGTCTATGGTCTCAAGAAGTGGTATTTTTGTAAACAAAGATGTTACATCAAAAGAAACCATAAACTTACCGGCAATATTTATGTGATTCATGCTGTCAGCAAATACAAATGAATCCTTTAGTGTATAGATGGCTAATCGTTGACGCACTGGTTCTAACTTATCTGCCAACCATCGTGCAACTTTGTGGTATGGTGAATTGATCATTGACAAAATAGGTCTAAGAGGATAACCTTGTTTATGTATTTTCGTTAATCCATACATGTGGCGCAAACGAGACCCACGAGGTCGTAGATTATTGTAAGTAGAGTTATCGATCATCTTCTTTTCCAGAAGATCTCTGAGTACTTTGGTGATCCTTTTCTCAATGGAATCAGTTAAGTCTTTGTTACTTTTTTCTAACTTGAATCTCATATGGTCATTCAAGATGGACTTCATCTTAAAAACATAATCTGTTTTGTTCATTAGAACAACACTTGAGCCTTTGTCTGACCGTAATATCATTATATCGTCATTTCGTTTAATATTTCAACTAAACTTTTCTAACTTGTAACTTGTTAAAAATTTTGTTTGCTAATTAAACTTTATATTTTTCCATATACATCACATCTTGTGTGGATTCCCGGGAGAGGATCACTAAGGATTCTCATATTATAACAACATTATTACCTTTAATTGGTTTTGGTATAAAAATTATTTGACAATCATATTGGATGACTGGACATCTTTCATGGTTCCTGAACAATGATATCACTTTTATTCAAAAGTTCACTTTTTTTTCTTTCTCTTTTCTCATCGTGTAATAAACTCAGGAATTTATATATTGAATCAGTTAGGTTTCATGGGTTTGGCGACTATCGTCGCTGTTGTGAATAATCATTTTGCTCAATGGAACAGTCGTCTAGTATGCTTCGTGAGACCTTTTAAAAAGGAATATTCAACAAAAAAGCAAAAGATCATGCTTTGCAAAGAGTCTTCGATTAAAAAATCAGTCTTCTGTAAACTTTGTGATCGTAATAATTGTCGTCGTCAATATCGACAACAACTAATTTACTATCCTCCTACAGATTATCATGAAAATTTGGCGTCACAATATGATACTGATTTTTTACTGACCAGTAGTATAAAAGGATATAATCATTACTATTTGACATCCTTGATAGATTTATTAAGTATACTGATCTACCTAACATTGTCCACATGGAACTGGATTTATTGTTTTTATGTATTGCCTAATTAATAAATATTTTCATTATACAATGCATCTTACTTGACATCTGTATACAGTTTACTGTTAAATTAACTGTTCATTTAATGTTATAATTGTTTGTGTTGCATGTTTAAAGGTAATATTATACGTAGCTTTACAATGAGGTTTTGTACTTGCCAATTTTCATCGGCAATCATAGATTTCTTTGACGTGATTAGTTTCTCCTAATTTGATTTAACATTTTTCAGTAGATCTTCACTTCACTTTACTTAGTTGACAAATATATATTCTTAGAAATAAATAATTATGCTTTTCGTAAATTCAGATATTCAGATCTGTTATTCTTTAATTATATTTTAGTAATGGATAATACATCATTTATTAATTCTGGCTCGATCGAGCACATATACGATAGTGATTAGTTCTTTCAAAAGAATGAAATGATTTGTGGAATAAATCACTATATCATGTAATAAGAATACGATATACCTAACAATTTTCACTACTGCCTGATGTTTTTCAATCAATTTTGTGGATTATTATGTTCTTTGTTAAAATCAGCTTTGCTGGTAACAAGAATATTATACAACAGAATATCTGTCAGCTCACAACTTTTCATTACTTTTATTTTGTAAAATAACACTAAGAGTAGTGGTCAATGAACGAATATATTTAGATTATAACGTTTTGGGAGTGATCAGTAACATAAAATTTAATGACTGTCACAGACGAACAATATTTCAGACATATTATAACAATAATTAGGAATAAAGTGCAAGGCCATTAATACGTCTGTTAGAATGGTAATACGAGAAATAATCCCGTTAAAACATCAAACATTCTAATGTTCATCATTAGTTGAACCACTGAAAATATGAAATTATTAAAATGTTATTTCATTTAAGTTTGGGGCTTCTCATAGAAACAGTGAGATATGAAGGTTCTGTGTGCGATCACTTATGTTACCTTTAGAAGGCAATGCTGAACAATCTTGACTTAGAATCACAAATCAAGTCACCACTATCTGTTTTTCAGTTAACCCTCCAATGATTCCAGTTTATAACAAACATTACCCCTAATAATTCAGAAAATTCTAACTTATTTGATAAACTTAACCACTATTCGATTAGTAACTTAATAAAAACAGTGTGCATAACGCTAATAAACTAATAATTAAGTGATAGAAGTTGTGATTTTCTTAACAATCTTATTTATTTATTTATTATTTTCTTGTCAGCTCTGTTGTGTCCGCCGTCTTACTGGTTAGAAACCAGGATCCGTTGTAATCCCCACGAGGCCGATTACAAACACAGAAGATTGGTTCAAATGAAGATGTATTGACTGTTCAAAAACACATACTCAAAATAAGTCGTCAACATTGTCGCCATCAAACCAGAACCTACTCATTTATATGCCAATTTTAAAATATAATAATAGCAAACATGGGAAAAAATATAAATTGTTTGCACAAACTCACTAAATATAGTTCACATCAAATAATATAGGGTGTATAAATATTGTACTGAGAGCTCACACCTGTCAAGCCAGACGACATCCATAATGAAATATAAAATAAATGTAATCTGGATTGGCATAGCCTTTTTATTCCATTATATCTTAGTCCATCTGTTGTCAGATCTAAGTATTATATCCGTCATTTGAGTTCACTGAAAAATACCTAATTAAATCCAGATTAGCTTATTACTATTTCAAACGACTTATTGACGTCTAACCTCTTTGATAACAACTTAAGCGCAAAGTATTGAAAAGTGACAAAACTTGTTTCATTAACATTTTGTATGACCAGCCCCTTAAGAATAAAAGCTATTTTCTAACTTCATAATCTAGAAATTACAAAATAAAGAGAAAAACACATACTGTTATTAACTTATCATGCAGATATTGGCTGGAAAGAAAGATAACAAAATTAGGTTATTGAAAGTTAATGGAACAGCAGAAGGCTGAAAAGATTGCTCATAGTTGTCAATCATTTATAAGATAATTAGATGAATATTTTACGGAAAAATATAACATGTGTGAACCGAATGGTGGTGCTATTCATCAATGCACAAAAGCTTAACGTTGTGAATAGGTCAAACCTAATAAAAAACGAACAGAAACGAATTCGCTACATTAATAAATTTATATTATTTCAAAAGGAAATTTTCCCATTTCATTTGTAAATTTTTGAACTTTTCCGTTGTTGATGTTAAAGACTGCAACTGGTCAATCTCTTTTGAAGTATATACATCCTGTAAGAGTTTTCTCAATATTTCTATTAAGACGGAAAATTTTTCAAACAAAGTTGGGTAGCGGCGCAACATAAATACTACTCAACTTTACTTAAAAACTTGTTTTGGTTGGGTCTGAACAGGTATACTTTCACCTGAGTGCATTTATTAATGCGAACTGTTCATAAAATTTTACACATCACGAAGAAAAACTGTGTTACCAGTTTCTCTCCAGATTTTCATGAATCTGACTCTCAAATATTTTGCATATTCACAATCAGTGAGTCAAGGACCACGTTGCACCTGACGAAAATGTGTGTATGTTTAATTTGCTCAATTCACATTGTTCTAATAACAGAGAAAATCATGATAATTGCCCCAAATGCCCTGGTTTGGCTGAGAGTGGAGTGGGCTCGCCCTCCCTCTCGAATTGCTCTCACACGGCAACGCATATACAGCCTCTGTCAGAGAAGTCCTACTCACTGCCTTCTCGTGGCATTAGTGTTGTTTACGAAAATGAGAGGACGAAAAGCGAATATCTGGTGCTTTAACCGGATCACAAACCAAATCAATGGTGCACATGGGCTCCAGTATCTTGTAGGAACAAATGGCGTATGAACCAATCGTTGGTCACCGGCTACCATGGGATTGCATCTCCTCGCAATGCTCCACTACCATGTAGGTTAGACCTTTAGGTCAAATGCTCGGAATGTGGCCCCCTAAGGAAACCACCTGCTTCGGTCTGGGCACCCGGGCAGTATCACAGCCCACATATAAATAAAATGAAAATGACGATATTTACTGAGAGTTCTATTCACGCTTCGATTAACAGTCAAACAATTCACATTATTATTATTTACCACGTCGCTTATTCACTCTCTTTTATTCCCACTCTGTCTATGTTTATTTTTCGACTTATAAAGCAGCTCGCCTATGGTTGAAATTCGACTCTATCTAAACGTTCACGAGTCAATGTCCGGTTGAAAATTGTATGCTACCACCAAATATGGGTACTGAAGCAGTTTTAATGAAACCACGTGCATCATTCAAACTGGCTGCCTTCAACCTTCGCATACTTGTGCATGTTGGACAACAGATAGGGGCTGGCTATGTCTTTAGAAAGTCTTAATATCGATGTTTGCTGTCTATTCGAGACTCGTATTCAAGACTCTGGTGAAGTACTACAAATTCGCTCTCCATCTGTCGCTTCTAAACGCTTGTTTTACGTGCGTATATCCGGGTACCCTGTGGCATCTTCGTCTGGTCTTGCTGGTGTGGGTGTCAGACTAAGCGCTAGAGCTAAGGCAGCACTAATCGATTGGATCACCATTAACAGTCAGTTATGTGCTGTTAGAGTAGAGAGTTCCATCAAAGTGAGAAGAAATCGGCATGAGAAACGATGTCTTTTCGTCATCTCCGCCTATGCCTCGACAGATTGCAGCCCGGATGCAATCAAGGATGAGTTTTACCACCAGTTATCTGTTCTTCTCCAGAAAGTGCGTTCGACAGATATTGTAGTACTAGCCAGAGACTTGAATGCTCAGGTCGTGCGTCTAGGCACAGAAGAGAGTTGCTTAGGTGGCCGATGGGAACTTGTTGGTCTCAGGACAGATAACGAGGACCGTCTACTGCAACTGTGCACAGACCACAACCTGTTTCTGGCTAGCACTAACTTTCGGCACAGTCATCGCCGATGTGCCAGCTGGCGTTTTCCCTCTGAATATTAAGCCTGGACTCAGATTGATCCCATCGCGGTCAGCTACCGCTAGTGCGGTTGTGTACAAGACTGCCGCTCCTTTTCGAGTACCTATCTGGACTCTGGACACGCCTTGGTCTGATCCAATATTACCTTAATTTTCAGTGGCCAACGAAGTGACCGCCTTCAAAGGAATGATGTCAACAATTTGGTTGTAACTCCTATTGCTAGTAAGTATCGAATCGAGCTAGCTTCTGGGCTGGCCACCATTCCACCGAAAAGTATAGATGAGCATTGGTTGCAATTGCATGACGCCATCAAAATGGCGAGTAAAGTCACTTGTGGGTTCGCGAAACGTCCCGCTTATAAGCACTGGGTTTCTTCTGGTTCCATACAACTCATCGAAGCCCGTCGGTCTACTCCGGGTGACCGTGAGTTTGACCAAAAACGAAGGATGTTACGCGAGGAAATTGGGAAAAGCTTGCGTAAGGACCGAGAAGTCTGATGGTCGGAGCGTGCTAATGAGCTGGAAGCATCAGCTACATCTGGTAATTATCGGAAGTTCTTCCAACTCATCCGAGCCACTGGCAGCAAGAAGTCTGGTGTGAGCGAAACAGTCTGCGAGGATGACGGAATACCAATCACTAACATCCATCGACGTCTTGGACGATGGGCAGAATTCCTCAAAGGGCAGTTCAACCGGCCTGCTTCTCCGGCAACATCTGTCAGACTGTCCTGCACTCCATGGTCAGTGACGACTGATCCACCAAATGAGGCGGAAGTCCGCAACTAACTCCAACTCTTGAAGCGCTACAGACCACCTGGGCCAGATGACATAACTCCAGCTCTTTTTAAAGATGGTGGTGACTTTCTGACAAAGGAATTGACAACGTTGTTTACAAAGGTCTGGGAGTTAGAGAGTGTACCAACGTCATGGAATGAGTCGATAGTTGTCCCTATCTTTAAAACCGGTTCACGTCGTTCCTGTAACAACTATCGGGAGATAAGTCCACTTCCGATTGCATCCAAGCTGTTGGCTTGCATCATACTTCGTAGGTTGTTCAAAACCCGAGAAAGATTGACTTGCGAGGAGCAGGCTGAGT